TTCAATTCTAAGTGAAAGCGTGGAAGAGTTGTTATGAATTTTGTAACAGAATTTCTTTGGAGACAAAATTTGTACTTTTATTAAGAAATGAATTAGATAAGCACATTTAGTTTAAAGAGGTGAATATTATTTGGATAAGTATGTAAGATTATATGAAAATATTGTTTGATTTCGTGAAGTATATGTCTCAATTATATCTGACAAAGGTTTAAGGTTACCCCAAAGTGGTGGAAATCTTTGAATAAGGTCTTGGGAATTCGAATTAATAGTAGCATTTATATTCATGCATAGAGAGATAGTAAGTTGAAGTAGATTATTCAGGCTTTAAAAAGGTTATATAAGGTTAAGCTAATCAAGTATGGCATGGATTTGGATATGATTGTGTATCTTGGTGATGTAAAAGTTATGTAGTCAAGGAGATAAAGATTTGTATATCTGAAGGAAGCTTAAGATGTAGCAAAAATGTTTGAGATGATAAAAGGGAATATGTGTATTGTATCGAATAAGGATTGTACAAGAATAAAGATTTAGTTTATCTTGCAAAGCAATTAAAAAATGATGAAAAAATCAATTGACTCATGATCATGAAAGATAAGGATTGAGGTTAATATCTACATGATGAATGACTTTATGTGGATTTATAAAGGGTGTATGTAGGTGAAGAATTGAAGGAGTGAGAAGATAAGTCTATTAAAGGTAATAATGAAATATTAAGTAAATGAAACAACATGATAATAATAGAAGAGATGTAGATGGTATTCTCATGTATTTGTGTAGTGAAAATTCGAGGACATATTCTTAAGGGGGAGAATTGTAACATCCTGAAAACTGGGCTAGTGACTAAAACGTAAGTTTTTTAACTTTATGATCAAATTCCAAAAAAATTAAAAGTTCAGGGATTTAATTGAAGTATCTTGGTGTAGGATTTAATAGCAAAGTTGGAAAGTTGAAAGGGTATAATGGTCATTTGATAAGAATATAAATAAAAATTCTTTGGTGGTGATTTATAAATACACGTGGGGATTAAGGAGGCAAAGGGAAAGAAAAATCTTGGGAGTTTTGGGTTCAGCTATCTTCTTCTTCTTTTTCTGTTCCCATGACTCCATGAGTAAGGTAAGTTGGTCTCAAGTTGATTATTCCTTTCATTTTAAAGTTGATTTTGATTCTTGGAATAATAATAAAACTTAAGGAAGCTAAAAGAGAAGTAGGAACTAAAAGATTTACAAGTTGTGGGAGATTGAATATAAGAGGTTTTTAAGTGAATTGATGAGAAAGAGTTAGTAAATAAGTTTTTAATTGAAATTTGACTTGTCATAAGCTGGAATAAGAAATCTAAAGAGTTACAAATGGATTTAGAACATGTTTAACATTTGGTATGATTTTTTAGTTTAAGTATGTTGGTGAGATATTGAATATTATGATGTGTTCAAGTGATATAAGATGGTTTCAGTGAGTATAGTTAAATTTGAAGCAATGAAAGGAGTTCGAAGTATGAAGTTTATATATGTTTTGGTAAATGTTTGGGGTAATTGAGTGTATTATGGGCAAGGGGCATCGCTACTGTTCATCCAGCATCGATACTTCAAAGAGAAAATGATTGATATTTGGTACAGTATCGATACTATAAGTCAATAATTGATAAATTATTCAGGGAGTATCGATACCAAATGAGTAGTAACGATATTCTGGGTATCGATACCATTGAGCAAGTATCAGTACCATTTTGAAGATGATTTCCATAATCAAAATTGGGTATCGATACTGAAGTATAGTATCCATACCATAGGGTAGAAGTATCGGTATTGTACCTTGCGTACCGATACTACTTATATGGAAATTGTGAATTAAATACTTTGTATAGCTTATGTTATATATGATTGATTAATAGTGATTCAACTTAAGACATTCATATCGATTATATGTATCGTGTAGATATCGAACGAAAGCAAGTACCGGATGAGTCAACGAGATAAGATCGATCGAGAAAGAGATAAGTGTATTGCTTTGACTAGTGAGGCTAAGGTGAGTGCATATTATATTTTATATGGTGTTATGGAAATAAGACTTGCGATGAGTCTATTTTCAATGCTTTGATTGTATGATTCTAGGAATGTAAGCATATATATATATATATATGTTTTCTATTTGTGTACATAAATACTTGTTTATGTGTTATATGTGTTGTTATTCATGAACTATGTGTTATATGTTATCTTGTATGATAATGATTTAGGTGGATATATGATAACAAGGTATAAGTTATATGAATTAGATCAATGTGAACCGATATGATTGACTTATGTGATTAAAGGAAAAGTGAGATAAGCTAAGTAGCATTATCCTATATAATAATATGAGAATAGGATATAAACTAGGAGATAGTGACATAAGTGATTATACAATAATGTAAGATAAATTATATGGGGAAATCTACGTGTTTAAATGAACCTATGATATAAGTCTTGTGAAATTCCCATGTGATATGAGTTATATGGTAAAGATCTATGAAACCATATGAGAATGTTATAGGAGCTATGAGATAATAAGTAATGATAATACATGCCTAGGTGACAAGTTATGTAAAATTGAACTATGTGAATATATGAAACTAGTATATAATTGATGTGATATAAGTAATTAAGTAAAACTATGAGATAAGCTATATTTCATTGATATACGGACTATATGAAAAGGTGTACATGAGTACATATATAATTTTATATGTTATTCTATATGTTATGTGGTATATGTGAACATATGTGAACAAGATATTATCAATGTGATATGACCTATGTCATTAATAGACTATTTGAAATGATATAAATAATCTAAGGAATTAAATGGAAAAGTGAAATAAGTTTAACGACATTGACCTATATGATTACGTGAGAAAGAATATAAGCTATGTAATTATGAACTATGTGAGTACATGTATATGTGATGAGCTATGTGACTATGTGAGCATGTGGATATATGTTTATGAGATACCAACTATGTGAAAAGTGTATATGATAAAGCCCATAGTATGTGTTATGAGAGCTAGGGGTATAATTAGCATGCCAAGTGTTGAGGGCTCTACGAGGTCCTTCGGGACAATTCTACATGGTCATTCGGGACATATATGTGGTCCTTTGAGACATTCTATATGGCACTCAGTGCAAATTTATACGAGCTGTGGTGACAGTAATTGTGCACAGCCTCAATACACTCACATCTCTTTAGTTCTCAGAAGTCTACCCTAGGCTAATAAAAGAGAATATATAGAAACCTTTTGTGATGTTATGTGCTTTGCTTGTGAAAGGTATTGTATGATGTTTTACAAATGTTAATTGAAAGATTATATGCATTAAATAGTTTAATGGTTTTAAACAGTGATTATGATAATGATGTTAATAATGATAAGGATGATAGTGAGGTTATATGTCTATGTATGTATTTATACTTTTGTTGCAAAATGTGTTTTATAGTTTTAATATGATTATATGAAATATGCAAAGTATGATTTGGTGATGAGATGTTTTATTATAAGTTTTATATGCCTCACTAAGTCTGTGACTTAGCTTGTGAGTGTTTCACAAGTAGGTTCCGAGAAGAAATGGAGAAAAGATAGGCAAGATAGGTCAGCTTCTCCTTTTCCAAAGATCAGATCAGAAAAGAATTTGAATCATATATATTTTATTATAATGAATGTAGTTGGCATGTGAATAAAAATTTGAGTCGGACATGCTCTGATCGGGTTGTAAACGTTTTGGTTAAATTTATGTAAATTATGATGTTTTATTCAATATAAGTTTGAATTTTTACGATTTGGTACAAGTATATTCTTTGAAAAGTTAATGTGACACTTGGACTTGTATTCGGGTCAGATACGGGTTGGGGGTGTTACAGCGATCGCAAAGTGATGGCCAATAGTAGCCATATTGAAGTCCTTTCGGTGTTGTACGCGTACCACCAAAATGTCTTTCATACGGGGAACTATGGCAATGCTATAGATTGCTTTGTTGTTCACAATGAGGTATATATCGCCGCATAAGTTGATCATTACATTGGTTATATAAATACGACTCCTCCCAATGGTATTGTTTTACGTTGCTCATAAATTTCCTTCGGTCATGGTAATTAAGATCGGGTGACATCATACCATTAACTAGATAGTTGGCAAAATTAACATCCCATGGTAATCACTTGATTTTCAAATCCCTTATTATCCTGATTCTCGATATCAAATTCGTGGAGTAAAAGCACCCATCAAATCAGGCGAGGTTTTGTATTTTTCTTGGAAAATAAATGCTTTAGAGCTGAGTGGTTATTGTAGACAATCACTTTTATACCACTAGGTATGGACGAAATTTGTCAAGAGCAAACATCAGAACGAGAAACTCCTTTTCAGTTGGGGTGTAGTTAACCTGGGCTTCATTCAACGTTCTACTCGCATAATGTATAGCATGAAACATTTTATCCTTTCGTTGCCCTAGCACTACGTCTACATCAAAATCAATAGCGTCACACATTAATTCAAAGGGTTAATTCCAATTTGGTGCTGTAATAATAGGGGCATTCTCATACGATCCAAACTAGCTCCAACTTTCTCCATGACTTGGTTACACCATGGATGTTATTCAAAGATGATTCTAAGGAAATTCTTCCTTACTTTATCCTTTATTATCTTCTATATGCATCATTTAATGTTATAAGAATACTTTTGCTCCTTAAACTATGCTTGAATAATCATATGTTGTCATTCACTTGCATACTATATGATTTTCATGCATAACATATGTTTCCACATCTTTACTTAGCTTTATACTATGTTTTACATATGTTTTATATTCATTAATTATGTTTTCATATCATTTACATATCATGGTCGCATGTATTCATTCATTCATTAACTCATGTCATGTTATTCTAGCTCATGTAATGTTTACATTAGCTCACTAGATTCGAAACAATAAAAGATACAACCTTGACTTCACCATCCATTCAACTGAGGCTATGTTAAACTGTATCAATGTGACACTTTCACAGTAATTCTTTGAATCTTTGTCATGCTTCATAAAAGCTTTCACCCTCTATCTTCTTAAATAAAGCTATATCATTATTAAGCTTGGCATTCATTTTCGACGGGTTGAATCGCAACAAAATTTTCTGTGCTAGCTCATTCCAGGATGCCATTACACCCGGTGGTAATGATCTAAAACAAATTCATGCTTTATCAAGAAGCGAATAAGGAAGTCGCTTCATCTTCATGGCCTCTTCCGGAAGACCTTGTTAAATAAAAGAATCACAAACCTCCATAAATGATCTTAAATGAGTCCTAGGATCTTCAATAACATACCCTCCATATTGTCCCATAAATTGTAGTATTTGGAACATAATCGGCTTTAACTTGAAGTTCGCAGTATTAACAAGTGGCCTCACAACGAGTCTTACTCAGGCATCTTGAAAGACCTTTGCTTTCAAGAAACTAAGTGGAAATACAGCCAAGCTAGTAGCTACACTATTGAGAGGCGATGCCTCATTCCAAATGGCAAGCTGTGAAATTACTTCCTTAAGAGCAAGCTGATGACCACATCACATCACACAATGGTATCTCTGTAGCGAATGATGTTGTTGCACTCTATTCTAATGGGGTGATCCATCGACATCGAGCGAGTCATTGTCAAGGTGGTGCATGCATGCTTGAAGAAGAAGGCTAGCCCGTTGGTCTTCCATAATTTGATCACAACTCTTTGCTGAAAGAATTCTTTGAATACGAGTTTGATGAAACCAGCCAAGGGTAGCAAGGTCTGACAATGGAGAAGATATTTGAGTTAATTGGATTTGATAAGGACTGGCCCACGTAAACATTGTAGACTAGAGTAAAATCTATTGATGCAGTATAAATGGAAGGCATGGTGGCATTCTCCTGCTAAACAAAGGAACTAATCGACCAATTAGAGGGCAATTTGAAAACCTTCTTTACATATGTGTAGAAAATAGATGCGATGATATCTTCCTGCTTCAAAGTGTTGATGTCTGTTACACTCGTGGGTTTCCCTCATTTCCCATATGAGGTCTTGGAAACATAAATAAATAATATTCACCACAACAGCCACGCCCAAGCCACAACATAAAGAAAATCCCTCCCTGTAGATGGCAAAAGAGCCCAACCATAATCCCAGTCCCCACCTAAGCAACCTACCGAACCCAAACATGATGTTGTGGAGCTCACAATTGAAGTGCCACAACAATCTCCCCAGTGGTCGGTCACACGTTGATTGAAAAGGTCTACTGGGCATGTAAAGATCCCACCTGTTGCTGAGCTTGAAGATGATGAGACTCCATATAACATCCATAACCTGTATAATTATATCTATACATATTATAGATGTTACCCGAATTTTCGAAAACCATTTTCCTTTTCAAAAACGATTTAAAATTTATTTTCTTGAAATGATAAATGATATTATAAAAATAAATATCATGTGAATTGTTTTTCGTTATAACAAATTTAAAACAAAAGATTTTTTTATGAATAGTGAACAGCACATGTGAACAGTGTACAGTAACATTGCACAGTAACAGTGAACAGTGCTCGTGAACAGTGGTGGAATCAGTTCCTGTAGGGGGAATCAGTTCCCCTTTTACATTCTAGAAAATACATTAACTGCTACAGTAACTTTCGAAAATACATATAAATTCATAAAAATTCCATTTTTGTTCCCAAATTTATTCAACAAAACAAATAAAAACATTTATAATTACATGCCACTAATAAAATTAACATTACAACTTAGAATGTCTTACTGATATTAAAATATACTTATCAATCTTTGATAACGCTTTAAATTCTTTATTCCATTACTGGCTTTTTACCTATGCGTGAAAAATCATCACACACTAAGTATATACTTAGTGAGGCAATTAAAACATTTAACAGTGTAATACAATTCATGCATGATTTTCAATATCAAAAATCAAATTTCCATAAAATCATTTTACTAACATATCTAATATTTTACCATGATCAAAATAATATAAAATCTCTTAGCATTTATCCCATAAGCTCGTAAGCTTATTTTACCAAAATACTTACCATTTAAATTCCATAAGCTCGTAAGCTTATTTTTTTCCAATATACTTGCCATTATTCCTTAACCATATACCATAGACAATAACCATAAACAATAGATAATAGTCCAATATACAACCCTGAGGACCCTGGGTACACGAGTCAAATACTTGCACCGTAGTGCAATCCCAAATATGACACATAAGGTCGAGTCCACCATATGTACTAGGTATCCTTAAGTACAGTTCTCGAATATGACACATAAGGTCGTGCCCACCATATACACTAGGTATCCTTTAGTGTATTTCCAAATATGCAGCCTGCTGGTGGACTCTATGGCATGCCAACTATACCTTGTCCCTCAATGACTTACTTGGGCGTACAATCTATTTTATTTGATCCATCCATGGCAAAGTATATTATCAATATTTAACAATAGGGCAGTTCATATCCAAAATAACATTCATGATAAAAATCATATATGTTCATGATAACATCATATGCAAAAATTAGTGATCAATGCATTTTATTTTCAACCTTTGACATATTTAGAATATATCAAATACATGATAAATGACATAAATATCATGTCAACATAAACAAGGTTGACTTATCGCAAGTCTTCCTGATGATGTATAAAACATCTATGTATAATGTCATGCATGTATTGCACTCACCTTGACACTTTATGTCTTTCAAAATATATGAGCCTCACTATTGTCCACCAAAAGCCCTTTTATATTTTATTTGCTTCGATTACAAATCAATCACAATCTGTATAAATCACCATTCATAACGATTTCATATGTTAGTATTGTACTAACATAAACACATTCCAAAATAACTCCAAAATATACTTGAACTCATTTTCTATCAAAATATTCAATACTTAATAATTCCTATAATATTGGAACCAACTTTTCCAATTTACCCAAAATGGTCCTTCACCATTTTATCACTTAGATTCTTAATATCAATAATTCCAGCAATTCCATCATTGAAATTATTACCATTCAAATGTTTTTACAAAAAACATTATTACATTTAAGTACCCAAACTATGAGATTTGTACTTAAATAACAAATCTTTTCAAACTTCCAAAATAGTCATATTTCACATCTTACACTCATTTCAATTCCCAAACAACAATTCATCAATTTTCCAGATTCAGACCACTCACACTACCTTTAAATAATCAGTATTTTGTATTGATATATGCACTCAAATTCAATTCCGTTTCTTCCGTTAAGAACTAGACTCGAATTCAAATTTATCCATATAAATAACTCCTTCTAATTCATTCTGTACAATTTATGGTGAATTTTCAAAGTTGACCAACAGAATCTGTTTTGCAGAATTTGCTGTCCGATTTTTCTGACCTTTCATTGGTTAAAAATTCATATCTTTTTGTATACACCTTGAAATTGATCCCCGTTTGTTTTAAACGAAACTAGATCAATATGTGAACACAAATATATAAAAATAACCTCGAAATTATTTTAAATAATTTTTGGTGAATTTTCAAACCTACTGCCAGATTCAAAATCCAAACTGTTTTCTTTAACTTCATTCTTAGGTTCTTCATCAATTCTTACAACCAATTCTTTAAAATCACTTAACTCTTCAAAACCCATAAAACACAAGAATCAAAATCCCATTCATCAACTCAAGATGAACTTGAACATGAACTCTAATAATATTCACGTCAAAATGTAGAGAATTGAACGTAGAATATTTTTCCTAACAACACCGAGTTTAATTCTAAAGAAATAGCTTCAAAATTGAAACTAAAAATGTTTACCTTTCTTTCTTGTAAGTGACGGCCCTTGGAGGAAGAAGAAGCTGGAAATGCTCTTCCATGATTGATATTAAATGATATAATAGTCTAACACATGCTTAATAATATATCATAATGGAATTTTTTATTCAACACCAAAGGAAATTCCATTTTTCCCTTAATGAATCTCCATAATCACCATAAAACCAAGCCATCTGATTCTTATCATATTACAAAGTCAAATATAAAATTAATTTAACTTTGACCTACGAAAATGCCATGAAATTTTCAAAACTTGCGTTTTAGTCATTAAATTCCACTGTTTCGATTAAATCTGAAAAATTGTTCCAAACCAAATTTCTCTGATCCAAAATATAAAAATATTATTTCCAACCATTTTATAACATACCTCAAATTTTTTAACATTCCAATTCGATCTGAATCTCCGATTCCTTATCGACTTCTTTCAAGTTTTTCTTTACTAAAACTCCAAATCCAAAAATATGATTTCTATAAAACCCCACTCTCAAGAGTAAACTATCTTTTAATGGAATAAAATTCTTTTTAGGAAATTATCACTTAATTCCCTAAAATTTTTCCCAATTTTCTACTTTAAGCATCAAACTTTCCAAATTTTCATTTTGGTCATTGTCTAAAATTTTGAGGTATTACACTCCACCTTCCGAGCCTGAATATGAGTTTGAACAACCCATCCATACCCCATTGAAGAATCGCCCCCGAAGGGAGGCAATCACTACAGCACCACCACCATGAACAACCAAGGTATCTTATATTGCATTGCATTTCATAGCATATAGTTTAATTTTATTTTGTTTGTAAGCATTGAGGACATTGAATCCTTCAATTTTGGGGGAGGTAGTGTTCATAGTTAGCATTTGCATTCATGATAATCAATAGTTTTGTTATAGCATATTTTTTGTGATTTTTATGCAGTTAGTGGAACGGATTGAGCATGCCGGATGATAATAATAATCTTTATGGGTATCCGAAATAAATGTACATGACATTTGAGTTGGATAGGATTTGTTTTAATTCTTGGTTGTTTGTGCTTTAATTTGTTACACGATTGTATGCTCTCTATGCTTAGGAATGTTAGAATTGTTTTTAGGAAAGAAAGCTTGCATGCCTTAGTATATCTTAATGTTAATAGACTTAAATGCTTGAATTAAACTCCCTTATGTTTGTTAATTATGGTTAATTATGAATAAATGCTTCGATATAACTATAGAGGGAACTCCTCTATGCTACAACATTGCC